CTTCGTAAAAGTCAGAAACGAACTCTGAGGATTATCCTGAAACATATTTGTTCACATGTTTGAAGTTTAAGGATACTCACAAAACTTCTATAAAATTCTCAAACTTTTCCTACCGTATCAAAAAACCGCTCTGAGCTTTTTGTTTTGTATTAATTAATACATGTAGAAATCTTTTTAAATTATAAAATATTTTTACCGTCGTCACCACAGCCACAATGAGCATGAATCCACAAATTGGGGGGTAGTTGAGAAGAATGTTCATGAGGGAAACAGTCATCCGAGGCACATCCAAGGATTATAAATGGACGATCTGAAGCTTCCTTACTTTCAGCCGTGAATTGTAGTTTATTTGTCATGTCCCCGTGGGTGGGGAGTCAAAGTTTCTATTCATCAAACTTTAACTTTTCGGCCACTAGGACAAAAAATTTTTCTGTTCTACTATACTTGATTTTTTGATTAATTCGCCATGTAAATTTTATATTGTATCTGTTGATAATATGAGTCACGTTCGATAAATGAAGATTCGTAATATTAAATACAAAAGCAATAACATGCTTATGAATTGTCTCCATTATTTAAATAAATTGTAGCTACAATTTAAGAAATAAGCTTGAACTATAAGGTAGTTGTTGAGGTACTAAAAAAAATTTCCTGTACCCAAAAAAACGACAAAAAAATCATGATCAGATTGATGCCCCCAATTCACTGTAAAATATAGGTACACGTATCTACATACAATTCTTGTTTTGAAATTTTCATTGTTTTAGTTAATTAAATGATATGATTTTTGAAATTCAGCTCAGGTTTCAATAAATTACAAATTTTATCTTCGGAGACAGTAAAGATGGATTATAAAAATATAACTCATATGCGGATGATGTAGAGGGAAAGATGAAGGAGGAGCTGCAGGAAAGTGAGGTGAGCTTGCTCAAATATCATGCATCTGAAATAACGTAAGAATAAGCAAATAACTATAAATTATGTGAATTAAGAGGAAGCTGAGGGAGAGCTGAGACTCACTTTTGTCTGTACAACTGTATAATATAGGGAGATACACTAATGGAGCTCTAATTCTTGCTCACACCGCTTAAAAATTCGCGAACTATGGTACGCAGTTGTTTTCTTTGCTACATTTTTATTTAGAAGTATATTCGTAGGATAATTTTTCAACTTAATTAAAATTTATAAGGAATCTTACATGTACTTAATTAGTATGCTTTGCTCTCTAATCCCCTGTTATGAGACAGAAAAGTTATTTATACATGATTTACGTAATTTCAGTCATCTTAATAAATAAAATAATGTAAAGCTCTAAAATAATTATATTTACTATTTAAAACTGTTCGATAATATCAAAGATTTTTTGTCAATACTTCAATCAATGCAGGTATTGGATATATGTAAAGGAAAAATTGAAAAAATTTTAATTTCTGATAAGTAGTTAACAAAATAAGTTTGTTTAAAAATGTTTAACGAAACAACAGATACTTATTTAAACAGTTTTACTTTAAGAACACAGAACGAATACACTATTTTATTGACATCAAACATTTAAGTAAATCTGACTATATGTACATCAGTTGTGTACGGAATAAGATTAAAAATTTTAGCATTGTTGAAATACACATCATAGCAGAAATAATTACAGGTTAAAAAGTAGAAAAAAAGGTACTTAATTCGCGGATAACTCTAAATAAAATAAATTCTTTAATAAAACTATTTCAAGCATTTAAGAACTTAAATAAATTATTTCGTTTTCTACCTTACTTGTGTAAACATCATTTGTTTTTGAGCCCCACCACTCTCCTTATCATTTTTAAGGAGCCCCCCACATCCCTTTCTTACCTTCTGTCATGACAAATCTTGCTATCGTTCATACCAGTTACTATTAGCCATACCGTTAAATAACTTTCTTTTTTTAATCTGAACCATTAACATTTTCCTTAAGCTTCTCATTTCTATTTATTATATTGTACTTAGAGGACTTATACACTTCTATGATTCAGAATAATTGTATGAAATTTATAAATGTATAATAATTTACTTTTGTAATAGACGAAGTAGAAAATAAGATTGAATTTACTTTATTTTTTATCAGATACATAAAACTAAAAAGATTCACATAACATGCAATCGATACTAATAATATCAATGAAGGGATTTCCTCTACTCCTCTATGTCCTCCACTTTTTATTCAATATTTTATTAATTTTTGAAATAAACTCCTTATTCAGATAACTATTACTCTAACTTTTAAATGAAGTTCATAAGGCAGAAGACCTTTGAAAATACTGTCTGAAACTGAAGTACAAAAACTTATACAAAAAATACTGTCAGTAATATCATCATCTTTGTCAGTTTCACAATCGATACTATAGTAAATTGATGTATTCTTGTTAAATTTATAACGATACAGATTCGTATAATCAAGTATAATCAAAATTTAATAAATTTGAGTCTAATACAAATTTTGTCATACAAAAGTTATAATTATAATCGTTAAAACGCTAGAACGATGGTTACAAGTTTTTATAAACTTTTTTAATGATCGATTTCTGAGGGATTGGCGCACGAAGCGTGCAGGGGAGAAGCCTTACTAACGCGCGCACAACAGACACACACACAGAGAGAGAGAGAGCGGGATGTATGAAGTTAATTAAAATTGAGAATGTTAAAGTATGATCATTAGCCAATCTAATGATTAGATTTTGCGAGGAATGGTAATGAGAGAGTATAATTTTTTTTTTGACACTGTTTTAGTTGGTATTTCACCTTTCAAAACAGCCTCTTTAGAAGCTATTATACAGTATAAGTAAAGTTTAAAAAAAATTACAAATAACAAAATAAGTAATTGGACCGTTAATTAGACATGATATTAGTTGCTATCGGTCATAGTGGGTCCGTTATTCGCACAGCAAAGATAATTATAGGACTATTCTAACCTATACGCTTCCCTTTTTTATTCACTAATCTTGTTAAATTATATGTTAAACTATGAACGGTTAACAAATCCCTAAAATAGACAAACAAGATTCGTAAATAAGCTAAATTAATAATAAGATGGAACTGCGTAGTTGAACGCACCTTCACTGTTTACGTACCGATTTGCTCTTTTAACAGAACCCTTACATTTTAATGTATTCACTACTGAAGAAATAAAATTGACACATCAAAATAAGTTTGTATCACATGACTTGGACTTTCGTAGGTGTAATCTATTGTTAGTCATAACTTGACGTGATTAGCGAATAAAAAAGAAAAACATAAAGATTGGGATAGTTTTGTTATCATGTTTGTTGTGTGCTTGAGGCACCCACTATGATCGTTGACAACTTATATTATGTCCAATTGATATTACAGTTGTTTACTTTTTATTTGTAATTATTTTTAGCTTTACTTACCCTGTGTAATAGGTCCTGGAGAGGCTATTTTTAACCGTAAATGATGGACGAAAATAATTACAGAAAATAAATTTTTTCTAAATACATGAATAAGTTAAGACAAAAAGTCTTAGTGCAGTAAAAAGTATAGGAATTGGAAGAAAATATTTGTAACGATGATTGTATGAAAAAGCTTAGGCTGTATTATCTAGTCCAGAGTTGAATGTGCAAGAAATTTTTGGGTGGGAGAAAATCAAAGTGTTGTAAAAAGTACAAATTGGCTACTTTAGATGGGTATTAAAATTGGATATTTATACATCAAGATAGTTGATGGTATACAAAGTGACGTTTTATTGTTTTACATTTTTTTTTATTATAATCGTGGCTTGCAAATAATGAAATTTTTCACATATAAAAGATCAAATTCTTACAAATACTACTCTGAGTCCCTTTTCTGGACTAGTTATGGTTAAGACCTATTGAAAAATATGTTAAGTATAAATAAGCCTTTCCTCACGCAAATAAAGATAGTTTGGAGTTGTAATCCTTAAAGAAGCATAAGAAAAAAGATGTAAGGCATTTAAACATAGAAGTCAACAAAGATTTTAAAGATCCGTAAGTTTTGTTTAAGCAAAGGTACAGTCAGAGTATTACAAGAAAAAAATGAGAAAACTAGTTCACGTACACAAAAATTATCACATCGACTTGATAAAAGTGTGGTTATGTATAAAAAGAACTGAAACAGGACGTCAACATCACAATAATTAAATATTCGTACACAGAAATGTAAAATTCAGAACTTAACAAATACTGTTACATTTCTAAAAGAACTTCTAAGTCAAGAGATAACAACTAACTAATAATAATGCTACAATCAAAACTATTTAGAAATTGTATTAATAAAAATAATTCAAAGACAACACAACCGTAGGGGCAAGTCTGTACAAATGCGAAAGACATATTTCTGAAAATGAAAACTAAATGAATGGTCAAACAAAGCTCACAAAATGTATACAAAGTGAAAAAAAGACTATTTTGGATTTTTGATAGCAATGATATTTATCTGCTTAACGTTTTAGATAGTTTACAAGCACTAATAACATTTTTAAAACATTGATGAAAATGTCAGTTAATTTTAACAATAACATTTTTTCAGCTATTGCCTTGGAGTGGGTTCTTTGTTGTTTGAATTAAGGGTTTATATACCATTACTTTGAAATTCCCAACTTAACTCATACCTTTTATATAAAATTTAATAAATTTTAAGGAATGTGGATTATTAGTTGCGTTTCAGTACTTAAAAATGTTTTTTACAAAAAGTAAAATGTAGTCGTTACTTGTATGTACTAAGAATCATAAAAATTTATGGAGACTTTTTTTTTTCGTCAAAACTGTGGGAGTGTTTTACTAGGAATGTAGAACAACTTTAGACGGTTACTTTGTTTACAAAATTATACAGTCATTATTTGTGAAAATTAGGAGTAATTCGAAGGGGGAACTTTCGAGAAATTTAGTATAAAAAGGCTGTAAAGAATCATCTTCATAATTAGAAAATAACAAATATAAATGCTTCTACTATCATACTAGATGATACTAGACACAAATTAGTGGTTGACTTACTAATGCCGTTTGAAGTTGATCAGGAGCGTATTTCATTAATATTTCTTTAGCCTTTTTGTAGGTTTCAGTCTCAGTTACTTCATCTAATACTTTTTTTTTTTCGTGCTGCAAATTAGTAAGTTTTTCTTCATACTTAAAAATTTTTCTCCTATAATACCATGACACAGTTTTCTTCGTAAATAGTATTCTAAAAAGAAGTATAATCAGTTTTTACATATGTGATTACTTATACTCTTACGAGAAATATATGTATAACTTTACTTACAAAATTGGAAATGTAAGTAAAGGAGCAATGTAAAATATTTGATCATACAGTTCTGCTGGAAAAAAATAAAAGTAGAAGATCATAGTCGTAATAATATATAAAATTCCACTGTAAATAATCAAAAAGCCAACTATCTTCTTGTGTCTTTGCTCCATATTCTGACCATATGTTTCAGTATCTTTTATTCTCTTTAAAAAAAAATGTATTATTAGAAACATGTTTATTAATCCACGTGTCAATGTGTATATAAATATACAACAATTTTGTATTTATACATGCACTGATTTAAATATATTATCATGTCAACGTAAGAAATAAGTAGATAATATAGCTAACAAATTATTTTAAAAATACTAACCTTATCTAGTTCCTCTAAGGTTTCAGAAGTAGTTTTCTTTTTCTATAAAAGTAAAGAGAATCAGAATTATACAAGGTTTCAGAATTTTTATTGGCGTAATAAAATTAGCATTGATTTTGAAAGTAGTATGTTTTTAAATACTATTTTAAGAAAAATTTACAGTACCATCTTTATAATGTATAAACAGGAATAAAGAAAAAAGTAGTACTTTTATATAGAAGTTTTTTTCCATTTAGTTTTATTTCATAAGCACTATCAGGTTTAACACTGAACAAAAATTAGGTTAACTTGTAACATGCTATAATGTCTTCGTGCACTTACGAAAAATAACAATGATGGAACATAGTATGTTACATCTTCAAAATTGAAAATAAAATTTTTCTTAACAGTACTTGAAAAATCCACAATGTAGTGAAAATAAATGAAATAGACTATTATTCAGTACATTTTTTTACAAATATTTATGTTTAAGTTTGCTTCGGAAATAATACAATAAAAATAATTTTTCTGACATAAAGAATCCCAAATTGTAGTATAACATCACCTTACAAAAATAAGATTCTTATAATAAACATGAACACTAGTAGGTTGTACAAGTCAAGCGTCATGAGTACATCCGACGACGCACGAGCACAAGAGAAAAAAAAAATTTAGTGATTAAAATGTGCATTTTTTTATGCACTTCGGTTGCTTAGTAGAGAAAGGTCATTTTACTACATCGAACTCAAAACTTGCATTAGGTTTCTATGCAGTCATACAAAATATGTGTAAAAAATGGGGTGCTTATTTTAAAAATGCCGCATAAGTCACCTCTAATCATAGATAGCACATGGATTTCGACAAAGGTTAAAGGATTAATTGACAAAGCAATCATCTTCAATAGCTCTACTTTTTTTTTATACTTTAGAGATAAGTTTCAACACAAATATATTAATAATATACAACACAATGTGCACAGTAGAGGATTGTGAATTTAAAGTTACTGTAAAAAACTTATTTTTAACAAGGTAATCAACCAAATATAAAAAACGCATTGCTTAAACTTTGTTTATTTTATGATGAAAAACTAAAGTTTCTTACATTCAAATTTTAATATTAACTTTAACTATAAATATAACTAATATGCTAGCAGCAAGGGTGTGCTGGAGACGTGAAGGAGATCATATAACGATCATCAGGAGAGTACACGTACAGGAGACCACATGCATGAGTGATAAATAACCACTTGACAGTGGGTGCTTGGGCACCCAAGAACGAAGTTATACTTTCATAATGTTCTATGGCAGGTAGTATATAAATATAAACATACCTTCTATAAAACGATATTGTGTACGAAGGTGGTGCAAGTATCGTTAGAATGAGTATGCGTATGTCAATTGAGTGTGTTTTTAATAAATATTTTCATATTTAATAAATAAACGAAAATAAACAACGATAAAGACTATATTATGAAAACAAGAAACGAGCAGAATATAGCCACACTTATTCTTACAAATAGTCGAGTATGCGACACCCACAATACTCTATGAAAAAAAGCTTAGAAAATATGAAAAACCAGTTTTTTAAGAAAATTTTGTTCAATTTTTCACTTTACAAAAAGAATTAAACATAAAACAATAAAACATGTTACAAACGTAACGATAACGTAAACGTAACTAAAGATGGCAAATTAAATTTATTTACAAACAGTAAATAAGTATTAAAATTACCAATTAATAAAAATTAAACAAATTTTCATTGATATAAAGAACAGTTTCGTTCAAGGAATATTGTTTTTAAGTTGTTAAAATAATTGTTTGTTTGTGTAACAAAAAAAAGTTGAATGTATGATTTGTCGATTGATATAATTTATAATTAAACCAAACTAATTAATAACAATCAAATGAATATTTGAGTTAAAAATAAGTTACAAACCACACGAAGAAGTCAATTTCTTCATATCGTAGCAGAGACGGTTAGGTACTCAGCTAATTCGCAGAAGATCAAGAGTTAAAATTTTTAAAAAAGTGTTTTTTTTATGACAATTAGTTGAAGAATAAGAATAAGAAAAAAAAATTAAGCTTAAAATGTGTGGTGTGGTGTAAAAGAGAGAGGACTACTGATACAATATGGCGGGACCAGGCAGTATAGAAGGGACTGATGCAGTGTAGTGAGGCGTATCGGAGTGAGGGGAAAGATAAAATCAAAAATTCACTTTCGTTACACATTTTCTGAAGGTCACTTATCTGTTATCGTTTATTTACTCTGTAGCACAGAGGGCACCTAATTAAGTATAACTTCTAAAAGTAGAATTAAAAATTGGTTTAAGACAAGCAAACTAAAAATTATTAAGTAGAAAAATGACATTAAAGAAAAATAGTAAATACTTCAGGAGCATCATACGAATTGGAATATTGCAAGAGAACGCAGTCTGAGGTAAGAGTTCAGTAGAAGATACGAGTAAATGGTTTGAACTCGAGGAGCAAAGAAAACACAATACTCGAAGGCTATGGTTTTGAGTCAGAAAAAGGTTAAGCTTATGTGAAAAAGAAAATCATAAAGTTAAAAGACGAAATGAGAAAAAAACAACAAAAAGATAGAAACAAAAAGCAAATAAAGGAGCTACAAAAAGCACAGAGGAAGGAACAAGAAAAGGAAATACAGGACCAAGAAAACAAAAAAAAAAGACATATGAAACAGTCAAATTAAATAAAAGAACAGAAGAACTGGACAACGAGGCCGAAAAAAGAGAGAGAGAACAAAGAAAGCATAACACAGATATCAAGGGTAAAAAGTTTAGTGAGGCAAATTTAATGAAAAAAGTGCAGAAATTTTTAACGGACCGGTTAAANATACAGTACATAGATAAGAAAAGTACAGAGTATAGCGATGGCACGCTGCCAGGCTGGCGAGTACGAGAGTTATACATACACTCTAGTGGGGCTCTACCCTCCTGCATGCTTCGCGCGCTAACCCCCTAAATTTTGAATCAGTTAAAAACTTCTCTGTTGAATAAATCATGTCGTGGAGCTTAGAAGTAGCGGATAGTGGCTAAGAAGGCTAAAATTAGTTAACTTGGTGGAAATAAAATGAAAATTAAGATAATTTTTTTTTTATATTTTACAACCATTTTGACGAACGGTATAACAACTCTGCATTGCTGTGTTACTATGCACGTATAGGCTATTGTCATTGGCATAGTAAAAAACCTCGTCCGATTTAATTGTGACATCAATGACTTACACAACCAACGGGAGTGTAATTTTTCATTCAGTATGCTATAATTTAATTTAATTTCAAGTCGTTTCTTGGCGTCATATGGAATATACATATGCCAGCGGTATGATATAGTACTGCACTAACTCATGCTGCCTACTGGTGATTAATTTTTTGATTACATCTCACCACTACTCAACACTACTTTTCCGCTCGGTTACGGAAGTTAGAGCGTGAACGTGTATTTTTATTAAAATGGAGGTGAGGGAACTTTTTTCTTTTTCTGCTATGACTCTGGCTAAAGATGAGTAAACATTGTCAGCAAAAATCTTATTACGTATAAAACTATAATTTAAATTATGTAATTGACATTTCTCATCTTCTAGGTTTGGAAAAAAAAGCTTTTTACTAACAGCTTTGTCGTGGAACTCGATTATCAAAACCTTTTGAAGCCAAAGATGGAAGTATTACTGTATTGAACACATTATCTTAGTCTTATAATATTATATTCAGTTTCGTTGTGGAGTACACATCACTGTTGAAATATAATTACTATCATAGTGTGCTGTTGTGATTTAAAAAAAATAAAGTTTATAATGTGAACGACAATAATTTAATATTATTTTTGTATTGCACGATTATAATATAAAAATATAACTGTTTCGTGATACAGAGCTATCATGTATCGTTTTTGGTATTTTATAAGAAATAAATTTTTTAAATTTTTGTATTTATAATTTTATTGTTATTTATTCTTAAGTTTTTCAGTTATACAGTAAAGTAATTGTTAGAAAATTACATCACCACGTCAAATTTTGTTTTTGCCTCAATTTGTGATTCCTGTATAGGTCAAAGTAACATCAAATTATCTTAAAACATTTAAACTGTTGTCTGGAATAAAAAAACACGTTAACTTTTTACTAAAATCTAATATTCTATTCGGTTTTTATTAATGATATTAAACATCTTTTTACTTACAGTTTTGTGAATGTTTCTGCAATGTCTCAACAACGAATCTTTTTTTAAAAATTTTTTTCTCACATTCCGAGCATACTATATTATCATCAGACTGATGAATCGTTTTATGTCGTCATAAATGTGTTTGTCTCTTAAAATTTTTTCCACAGATAATACACGGTATAATTTTACCATTTTCATGTTTTAATACATGATGCAAATAATGATTTTTTGATTTTACGATGATGTAACATTTTTTACATTCAAAAAATGATTTTTTATGCTTTTTTTTATGATCCATTAATTTTTCCTTATTACTAAAAATATAGGAGCATAGTTTAAATTTAATTAAGATAATTATTCTGAAATAAAAATAATTACATACGATATATATTGTGACGGTGAGATACCGTCGAGCCATGATCGGTAGGCTAGGACCGATAGGGAAAGAAGGAAAAGGGAAAAACGGAGAGGACAGTTAGGAAAGAATGGAAAGGGAAGAAAAAGCCGAAAAGGGATCAGATTAGCTTGGGCCAGCGAACGCGCGTGAAGCGAATTTTTGTTTTGGAGGACGTGAGACACGTCCTCTGGAGTGTTTCCGTTCCTGCGATTGTTGTCGTGGCGGCTGTACTTGAGCTGTCCCCGGTACAGTGTTTGGTGCTGAGTGTCCGGGTCCTGCTGGGATAGCAGACGACGCCGGACTCAGGGTCACCGAGGCCGATACCGTCGATCTCGGCCTTCGAACGCTGCCAGTAGGGACGCCTACTGACCTCAGCGTAACCGCTCCACTGCTCCCGTGTAGACTTGGCCTGCGAGAGGCATCGTCGGGGAGCGACCCCGCTTCGCCGTAAGTACCTGCCAACAGGCAGTTTATTGTAAAGGGCAGCGGCCCTAGAT